TGCCTTCTGGTGGCTTCCTGCATTCCTTAGCTCGTGGTCTCACATCACTCCGACCTCTGCTTCCCTCATCATGTTTCCTCTCTGACTCTCCTGCCTCTCTCTTGGCAGAACCTTTGTAACGACACTGGGGCCCTCCAGACAATTCAGAATCCTCTCCCCATCTCAAGACCCTTAGCTTAATCCTATCTGCAGAGCCCTGTGAAATAACCTATTCACAGGCTCTGGGGGTAAGCAGGTGGACATCTTTGGGGAGTGGCATTCTTCAGTCTACCATACCTCCTAAGCCTCGGAGGGTAAAACCTGTTGCCAAGTTTTCTGGAACAAACACTGAACTTTGCTACAAAATATCACAAACCATGCACACTCCGGACACACCAAGATATGGACCACATTACAACTCTTTCATCTAGATCCCCCTGTAAATTAGCATTGCTTAGTCTGTCCTTGAGTATGTACATATACTGCATAGTGTCCACATATATACAGTACTCAGGGACCCTTAGAATATCCTTCCAGATTTCTGTCCCTTTGGTGAGGAAGACATTGCCATGGCATGGGGATGGAATGAAGCTGGCAAAGCAGCTGAAGTGACCTTGCCTTGTCCACATTCCCGACCGCAAGGCTCCCTTCCAAGCTGCTGCTTCCTTGAGAAACTGGCTGAGGGGATGGTCACAAGCTGTCTCACGTGGAAGAGTCTTAGCAAGAAGCTGCAACTGAACATTTTTAGACACGATTATAATTGTAAAACAATGTTCAGAAAGTACACAAATACTTGGCAATGAGTGTAGAAGCGAAAAGGGTTTCATGATCCAAATAATTTGCATCTTAAACACAAGTGTTTAACGGCTGTGAAGATTCTGGAGGTGAGAACGCCTGATCCCCAGCGTGCTACCTACAGACCATTCACCTCCAAGCTGGGGTGGGTGGAAACGCTGAGCCCTGGGCCTGGTCTCGTCTGGTGCTACAGCCGCCCTAAGTGCTTTTCTTGACTGTTATGGGAATCAAACAGAAGATGTTGCTTCTGGCGGCATAGAGTGTCCTAACTACGAGTGAATCTCTTGTTCCCAACAGGCACAATCTGGTTTTGTGAGGAAGTAAAGACAGTTTTTCCCCCCTCTCCAGGAATCTGGAGCCGCATCTCAGCTCTTTAATCCTTGGTCCCATGTCAACAGTATTGCTTTATAGTCATTCTGGTTTCCCCCATGAAAGACTGTCCCGGGACAAGAAGCAACTGAAAACACTTTTTCTGCATGCTACTTACCTTTATCTATTAAAATACTAAACCTCACTACCAAGAAAAGCTCTAAGTAAGTTGTTCTGAGTCACCTATCCCTGAGATGGACACACCTTTAGTGGAACCTAGTCATGATGTTTTACAGCTTGGAGGCTAGAGATCATCCGGTCCACCCCCTCATTTTTGTAGATGAGGAAGCTGAGGGACAGACACCTAAGGAAACTGTGCAAGGACATACAGGTCAGGGTGTCAACAGTCTTATAAAGCCATAAAAAAGTATCAGCCAAGGCTCTACGTATCCAGTTGATAACAGTCATAGTTATAGCTCCCATGTAATAAATTCAGTCTTCACTGTTTTAAACTTTTGTGATAATTTGACCTGAGCTAGGCCAAAGTTTACTTTAAACACTCTACGAAAGACAATCTTCCTAAGCAATTAATGGTCTAAAAAGATCATAGAACATACAGTTTACCTATGTCTAGTAACAAACTATTTAAAGGACATTTGCCTTCAACTACATGCAACTATACCTCTGATTTTAAAATAAATCATTGAAAAAGGCCTTGCAAAACTTCAGTTTGGAATCATCTTGTCAATTGTTTGATTCTCATTATATACTTGCAGTTTTAAAAATTATTTCTTTTAAACAATGAGCCTGAGAAGATTCACTGACCGAGCCTTATTATCCCTTTATGGACTCAGAATTAGAAGAGTTTATCCGCAGGGCTTCAAAGCAAATCAGAAATTGTGTGACAAAGCCAACTCTTCCAGAACAACTGTCCTCACTCACCTTGAGTGAATCTTGGACACTTTTGCTTTGATGAATAGGGAGGGCGGAATGTTCAGGAATTTGTTTTTCCCCACCAGTAATGATGCAGTACTTTTAATGGCAACCCCTATTTATACACATCAAAAGCCGGCTTCAGATGAATACTGACAAGTCACTCCCAGGCACTAGGTCTCTCAGAGGAAGTCCTTTGCCCTTCCTGCCTGCAGCACCACGCCATTATCCTAGGCACTTTCTGTCACTCAGTTCTCGGTGAAACAGCAGATGGGAAAGGATTTAGATTAAACTCTGGACCCCTAGAAAGATGCGTAAGAAAAGTCCAATCTTTTCTTAATTGCAAAATTAAACTGATTCCTAGTGCAAAGTTCTTTCCCTCATTTAGGACACGGAATATTATCCAAAACTAGGTCCTTGTCAGAGAATTTGGCTTTGGGCTGGTTCCCTGCATTGAAGAGACACTTTTTCATGTTCTCTGTGATTTTATCTCCCTTTTCCTTTCCTCGTATCTAGGGTCGCCAGGGAAAATACACAGTGCCCAGTGGAAGGTGAATTTTAGATAAACAACAAATTTTTAAATATATATATTAAAGGTTTTTTTTTTTTGAGACAGAGGAGAGAGAGAGAACACAAGCAGGGGAGAGGCACAGAGAGATGGAGAGAGAGAATCTCAAATAGGTTCTGCGCTGTCAGTGCAGAGCCCCACACCGGGCTCAATCTCACATACCTTTGAGATCATGATCAGAGCCAAAATCAAGTGTCAGACACTTAACTGACTGAGCCACCCAGGTGCCTCACCAACAAATATACTTTTAGTACAAGTATGTCCCATGCACTGTTTGGAGCATACTTCTACTGTAAAAACCTATGTGTTGCTTATCTGAAATTCAAGTTTCACTGCATGTCCTGTATTGATCATTTGTCTTTTTGGCTTTTTGTTTTTCTAAATGTGACAACCCTACCTGATTATCTTCTTCCAACATTGTTTTGTTCTCCTAAAATTTTCTTCAATGGGCTTTCTTCCCAATTTCATTTCCCTCGTTAAGGACAGTGGGTTTTTTTTTTCTTTACCTTCTGCTCTTGTTTGGGGGCGGTGGGGTTTTAGTTTTGAGTGGCTTTGGATGGAGACGGGCAGTCCCAGCCTTCTGTATGAAGGGCTCAGAGCCACACATCAGGCAAGATTTGAATAGGGCCTGTGTGAAGCCATCTCTTCTGAAGTTCTGCCTTCACCAAGTCTCCCTTCGAGTTAGGCATTGTCTTCTCTAATTGGTACTTTGAAAACACCCCTGGGAAACATTAACACAAGTTACTAATAGCTTAGTAGAAGTCGTAGTAATGAGTTTTAAATTTTGTCTCCATATAATTTATAAAGTAAAGTCTTTTTTAGAAGTATAATATGCATATAGAAGTGTGTCCAGTCAGTAAGTGCACAGCTGGGGGCACCCATGTGGCTCAGTTGGTTAAGCATCAGCTCATGATCTCACAATTCGTGAGTTCAAGCCCCACACTGGGCTCTGTGCTGACAGCACAGAACCTGCTTGAGATTCTCCCCCTCTCTCTCTATGCCTCCCCGGTTCACATACTCCCCGCCTCTCTCAAAATAAATAAATAAACTTAAAAAAAAAAACAAGTGCACAGGTGGATGAATTTTCCCAAAGTGAGTGTACTCAGGTAACCAGCACCCAGATCAAGAAATACAACATTAGGAGGGAAGTCCTGTCACGTGCTACAATATGGAGGGACTCTGAGGACATGGATAAATACTGCATGATTCCACCCATATAAGGTGTCTAGAGTAGTCGAATATATAAAAATAGAAAGGAGAATGGCAGTTACCAGGGGCTGGACACCAGAGAAATGAGGAGTTATTGTTTAATGGGTATAGAGTTTCAGTTTTACAAGACGAAAAAGTTCTAAAGATCTATTTCATTTTTTTAAATGTTTTATTTTCTTTCTTTCTTTTTTTTTTTATTTCTGAGAGAGAGACAGCATGAGCAGGGGAGGGTCAGAGAGAGAGGGAGACACAGAATCTGAAACAGGCTCCAGGCTCTGAGCTGGCTGTCAGCACAGAGCCTTATGCAGGGCTCAAACCCACGAACCGTGAGATCATGACCTGAGCCAAAGTTGGATGCTTAACCGACTGAGCCACCCAGGCGCCCCTCTAAAGATCTATTTCAAAACAATGTGACTATACTTAACACTACTGAACTGTAGGCTTAGAAACAGCAAGGTGGTCAATTTTACGATATGTATCTTTTACCACAATAAAACAAGAAACACAATATTACCAGCTCCCCCAGAAGCCTTGGTGGCCCTTCCCAGTCACTTCTGCTTGTCCAAGATCACCACTATTCTCATCTCCGAAGACAGCCCATCTGCTCTGAAAAGATTCTAGAGTTAGTAAGAAAAAAAGCGTACCAGACTCCTTTCCTTCTGATGGGAGACTCCTTCAAATCAGAAAAGGATTGAGCCTTCGGCTCGCCATGGTGGGAGGTGCTAGGGGAAGAAAAGGGCACCCAAGAAAGAAGACACAAGTGCTAGTAACAAACGCCAGCTACTCTGCGATCTTGCCAAAGGTGAGCCCTGCATATTCACTATGGGTTTATTCAGTGATGACACGTTGTTTTTCTTTTCCACTGTGTTTACAACATGATCTGTAGGTTCATATCTGGGTCCAGCTCCAAGTAGGTATTTATTTTTTGTTACTGTGCGCACAGCACTAAGTGCTTATTTTCTTACCAGAGTGTTTATTGTCGCTACATATGGCACGAGACGTAACAGATGTGCTTGCTCATGGCTGCCTCCGAATTCCTCAGGGGCAAATTCTAAACTCAGGGAAATTTAGGTTCGCTTCATTTTACAACGGCCGTAAAAACCAATCCACTGCCCTTTTTGACTACGTCCTTTTCCAAGAGGGCACCAAATGTTCTGAAGAACGAACGACAAAACTGTGAACTCTGATCAAGAAATGGATAAAATTCCACAGATGATGGCTCTTTCTCATGACGGTCTGCGGATGCTGCTGTGGGCAGTGCCAAAAATGGCAATAGCTCAGCTGATGCCAGGAAGGAAAAAAAGGAGGAAAAAATAAAGAAAACGGATAAAATTGTTACTTTAGACCACAAATGGTAGTGACTGGGGCAGAGGTCAACAATTTGCCTATAGTCTTGAAGTGAAGGCAATATGACGTGCCGCCCTGTGATGTCAGATGGCAGGCAGATATTCGTGGCACCTTGGAAAGAGAAATGGGATTGTCATATTATGCTAAGGATTAGTCATTTAAATTAGTTATTGGGTCTCAGACCCAATGATTCCTTTAATAACATGTACTCAGGCTGAGCCCTCCTGTACTAACCTGAAATGAAACTCATAGGTGATAGCACATACCCCTATGTGCAATTGTAACAATCAACATAATGCCCCAATAGAAAGGAAAAATAAAAAGAAAGTAATTTATAATAAAATAACATGCACCGCAAACTGTACACTCTCAGGCACAGCAATACTAGCAGACAGAATAAAGTAGCCGAATGTTTACACTATCATAGCACCACTGAGCGACAGTGCAAGGCAAAGACTGATACGCATGTGCTCTAGTAGCAACTCAAACTACAAAATCAGCTACCACCCATGTGCCTCTGACCTCCCAACATGGTGAACAACTTTTGGAAACTTCTAAGCAATACTAAATGCAAGCGTCTTTCAATATATACTGTACTTGCGATCTTGGAAAATTAGGTGCTTGTTTTCACCAAGATGATAGCTCAGTAGAATATGTGAAGGTCAGGGTGTCTGGGTGGCTCAGCGGTTAGGCATCTGACTCTTGATTTCAGCTCAGGTCACGATATCAGGATCATGAGATCAACCCGGGCATCAGGCTCCATGCTGAATGTGGAGCCTGCTTAAAATTCTCTGTCTCCCTGTCTCTGCCCCTCTCCTGCTGTCATGCGTACTCTCTCTTTAAAAAAAAAAAAAAAAAGATTTGAAGGTCACCCAGAACATGGGATAATTTCCAATTCTAGCATCTCTGCCCACCCTTTAAATGTCAATAGTGCTCCCCAATCTCTGTGACCACAAAAACTGCCACCATCGATTTCTAAAATCTATCCCCACCCCAGGACAATACCACCTCCCATTTAGTATCCCTGATTTAGAGTAAAACATGTTATTTGCAGAAGGATTTTTCAATTAATTTATTTTTATTTTAGAGAGTGTGCAAGCAGGGGAGGGGGAGCAAGAATCCCAAGCAGGCTCCACACTCAGCGCAGAGCCCAACACCGGGGGCTGATCCCACAATCCTGGGACCATGACCTGAGCAGAAATCGAGAGTCAGATGCTCAACCGATTGAGCCACCCAGGTACCCCACTGCAGAAGATTTTTAAAATCTTAAAATACAGCACTAATAAAATGATCCATTTCTTCAGCAATTTCCCCAATTGTGATTCACATTTTTAAAAAATTGATGTTGAAATTTACAGTCCCACAAAGAAGTAGTTTCCCAAGATCTGAGCCAGTTAGCTCATCAAGGGAGTCAATAAATAAAATTACAGAGCACTTTTTGAGGGGAATACCTACTTAGTATTTTAGACATTAAAATAATAGGTTGACAAAAGGAAAAAAGAAGAGAAAAACTCTGTAGGTTGTCTCATCAAGAAAAGCAATTTAATGAGAAGGTGTCATACAGATGTAGGATAATAAATATTGTAATTATTGTTTTGTTCCACTTTTGCAGCTATTCTGTTTAGTTGTGTTTTTCAAAAACACTCAGTAATTAAGAAACTTCTTTATTAGCAGCATAAATACAAATCAAAAATCCTACACACACCATCAGTCCCAATCTAGAGAGCACAGCCCTCAGGTTGCGGTTCACGTGTCTTGGGGTCAGCAGTGTGGCTGGAGCATCAGGTTCTAGCTCAGAAGAGCTCACTGCATTCATCTCTTCCCAACTGTGCACCCAGCAATGTCAAGTTCATAGCCTGAAAGCAGCAGTGACGGAAGTATCAGCCCAGAAATTGGCCAGTGCTGCAAATCAGATTCACCACCACCCACACACTGTGGCTCCCAGAGAGTCTGTTAAACATTCACCAGACACCACTGCATGGGGCTGGCTCCTTGGAAAAAACAACCTGTTGCAGAAGTACAAAACAAGACTTTGTGACAAACTCTTGGGAAAGAACAGTCCATCTTGGGCTCTCTAATGTTTCATCAAAGTCTCATAAAGTACCAAATGGTGGCTCAAAAATGACCAAGGAAACAAAACTAAACAAATGCCAATTCACTAGTATCCAAATATTTATTTAGTACCAACTATGTGCAAAACAGTCTTCTTAAATTCTTTCTGCAACAAGGCAAGACACACATTAAATAAGTATATAATGTGCAATGGACCAACGTGTACGCTGCCCATTTAAAGAGATAATTAAACAACGACACTAATATTTTTTGCCTTTTTCAAAGGGAATACTAACTTTAAATGAGGATTGTGACAGGTATGAAGCAAATATTGTCTCGTTAGACTCTCAACCACACTGTAAGATAATCATTAGGTTGAGCCACATGAAATCGCCGATAGTTGACCAATTTTGACCTCTACAAATGGTAATTTCCACCTAAATCATTTTCTCTGTTTTATAGACAAGGAAGCCAAGATCCTAATATATAAACTTGTCAAATGTCAAACAGCTAGTAAGCAACAAAGCCAGGATTCCTTGCAGACCAGAATGGCTCCAAAGCCCTGCGCTTCCCACCACACACACTTCCCAAATCAAAGAAACGTTAAGCACATTTGATGTGTTGCACGCATTGAAAGAATTCTTAGAATTAAACTGTTTTGAAATAACTCATGGTAAACGAAATTAAGTTAAGGACATGCATTTTGCCACATAACTAAACACTGGCTTCCTGGGTTTGTTAATCATAAATGATTAGAAATAATCATAATTGTTGATACGTTTTAGAGACTGAAAAAATATTTTAATAAAGACTGCAACCATTGTTTGACTTGTTCTTAAAAACTCAAATTAATGTTTCTACTTAAGAAATTCCATCAATGTTCAATTTATGCTTGTGAAATTAATGTTTAATTTGTACTTAACAAATGACTTTTTAAAAAATGCTGTGCTATTACTAGTACAAATCATCAAACGTCTCATATTCAGTCTGTGATTCTCAATCCACTAGAATGATCAGTGCTTCAAAAAAGAATGATAGTCATAAACGTTTGAACCAGAGGGTATTGATAGGAGTGTCTCGATTTTTAAACACATTCTCTTAGAGACATTTATTTTAGAGACATCATCTACACCCCCCATTTTATTCCTTTCCTTCTAGGTTACTGTGTGTTTTGCATCTACAGCTTTGACACCCCCCGCCCCCAACTAACCAGCTTTTTTCCTTCTCTCCTTGAACAGATACTTACAAATAACCTGCTAGGTGCTATCGACTGTGCTAAGTGCTGCAAATGCAGTGTATTTATATTCACATCCTAGGATCCCAACGTCCATCCAATCATCCCTTGAATTAACAGAAACTTCCAACCATACTTAGTGCTATCAGGGACAGGTTCCAAGAGAGGACGATTTGGCCTCGTTAGGGAAAACTTCCTGAGGAAATGGCACTTGAGCTAAGATGTAAAGATTTGATCTCATCTAATATAATCTAGTCTATTCTGTTCTATTTCATTAAGAAAATTATTATCTAGGGGGTGCCTGGGTGGCTCAGTCTGTTGAGCGTCCGACTTCAGCTCAGGTCATGATCTCACGGTTCGTGGGTTCGAGCCCTGTGTCGGGTTCTGTGCTTACAGCTAGCTCAGAACCTGGAGCCTGCTTCAGATATTCTCTCTCTCTCTCTCCCCCTGTATGTGCCCTTCCCCTACTCATGCCCAGTCTCTCTATCTCCCTCTCAAAAAATAAAAACATTAAAAAAAAAGAAAAAAAGAAAATGATTATCTGTGTCCCCTAATCTACATTGAGCAACTACTAACTTTAAGTACTGTCTCGATTCACTTAGCTTAACATTTTCAAGTGTCATCTAAGTTGCTGCACTGTGTGCGTATAATATTTCGCTTATTCATTTGTCAGTTGATGGACATCTGGGTTGTTGCCACTTTTGGCTATTGAATAATGCTGCTATGAGTTTGGGGGCACAAGTGTTTGTATGGGCATATGCTTTCATTTCTCTTGGGTATATACCTAAGAGTGAAATTGCTGAGTCATATAGTAACTCTAATTTTAATATTTTAAGAAACTGCCAAACTATTTTCTAAAGCAGCTGCACCATTTTACATTCCCACTAGCAGCGTGTGAGGGTTCTAATTTTTCCATATCCTTGCCAACACTTGTTTTTTATCTGATTATTTGATTATAGCCATCCTAGTAGTATGAAGTGGTTAGCTCATCGTACTTTTGGTTGCATTTTCTTGATGGCTAATGATGCTGAGCATCTTTTCGTGTGCTTATGGACCATGTGCATGTCATCTTTGGAGAAATATCTATTCAGATTCCTTACCTATTTTTAAGTGGGTTACTTATCATTGAGTAGTAAGAGTTACTTATACATTTTTCTTAAATGTTTATTTATTTTGAGAGAGAGCATGTGCAAGTGGGAGAGGGGCAGAGAGAGAGGCAGAGAGAGAATCCCAAGCAGGATCTGCACTGTTAGCACAGAGCCCGACATGGGACTTGATCACACAAACCACGAAATCATGACCTGAGCTGAAATCAAGAGTCAGACATTTAGCTGACTGAACCACCCAAGGGCCCCAGTTATTTATACGTTTTTATACAAGTCTCATCACATAAGTTACTAGCAAATATTTTCTCCCATTCTGTTGCTCGTCTTTTCACTTTTTAAAGATTTTATTTTGTTTTATTTTATTTATGTATTTAGAGAGCACAAGAGTGAAGCAGGGGAGAGGGGCAGAGAAAGAGGAAGAGAGAGAATCTTAAGCAGGCTCTATGATCAGTGTGGAGCCCGACATGGGGCTCGATCCCCTGACCCTGGAATCATGACCTGAGCTGAAATTAAGAGTGGGACACTTAACCGACTGAGCCACCCACATGCCCCTTT